TGGATCGATTAGTGTGTGGAGTATATGGTCTTATTATTAGAACAATGTATCGCCCTATCACGAAAGTGAGATTCTGCACACGCAATAGCACGTCTTGTTCCTCCATTTCTTTTCTATTACTTTTTTTTTGGTCTTTTTGTAACGTGCGTATATTGAACATTGTACACGCGGAGTGCGAATCCAATGACGATCGTATGATGTAGCACGATTATGTTGCGAGCGAGTTCGCGACGAAATCGCAGTGCTGTGTCCTTCGCAGGAGTATTTTTAATATTTCATTGTAGAAGAAAGGAAGAGAAAGGGGGAGAGAGTGGGAGTGAGTGTATTTTCTCGTGTCAACTAGTTTTTGGCATAATCAACGAACCTCGTAACCGAGAGGAGAACAGATTAGGAAAAAAGAGAAGAGGAAAGAGGGGGAGGGAGAGAGGGAGTGCAGCTAGATTTGAACAATTTTCATTGAACAATCTTCTTGTTGTTTACCTCTCGGCTACGTGGTAATAGAAACGTTTATTACTAATTTGTTTCGCCACACGTATACATATGTAATTAGCGCAATTGTGTTGTGGGAGAGAGTCGTTGCGAGCGAAGCAAAACATTATAGCTTAATGAAAATCATGCACTTTTTTTTACATATATTTACAATCTTGTGTTTACCGTGTGCAAGACACAACATCGAGTGATCATTCCGATGAAAATTTTTAGATTTTGTTCCTTAGAGATTAGTTTTGCATGAGTATTACACGAATCCCTCGCTTCAAAATTTGCGGGATGGCGAGAGAGGAAGAGAAAAATTCTTTTTGTATGTATTTAGTTGCTTGATTCTTTCTTACGCTTCTCTCAACGGCTCTTGCCCGAACGATCGTCGTCGGAGTGAAGAGGGAGGACGGCGGGAGGCCTCCGTCGTTGTCGCAATTATAAAATCGCGAATGTGCGATGCGTCGATGGAACGAACAAGTCCGTGTACGCTGATTGCGCTCTCGTGGAAAAAATGGGCGACTAGTGAAAGTCGACGGGAAACCTGTCCATAACGCTGTACATAATAATTTTAGCTTGTAAGGATTTAGAAAAATAACAGCCGATGTTAGCACGGCGAGAGACGAGGGGAGAGATGAGAGAGAGAGAGAGAGAGAGAGAGACAAAGAAAGAAAGAGAGAATGTAAAAAAGAACTGTCGCTCTCGCGTCTCCCGGTCGCGTTCGGAATAGGCTCTCTCGTGCTTGGAAGATCTTCTCTCTACGAGGTTGTCCTTTTTCTTGCTGCAACGAGAACTTGTGAATCCTTTTTTCGTATTGTAGGCGAACGTATATCGCTCACGTCGCTTCACCATTTGTTGGACGACGGCGCGAGTATCCCCTCGGTATACCTATAAGAATCGAATTCAGATGCGAATTTTCCGGCGTACCTTGATCATTCGTGTCTCATCGAGCGAAGTGGCACGAGACGCGCGATTTTCTTTCTCGAGTAAGAATCGTGCGCCTCGTGATGCGAGAAAAGGATTCCCGGCGATTTTTGTAGCAATTAAACGGAGACCTCCGAGGCTGACCTGCCATAACCGAGGGACTCCGTTCCGATTCGATTTCTTCATCTTCCGTTTTTTGTAATTTATTTTCGAGTTTGCGTTCCACGACTTTTAACATATAAAGCGTTCCACGATTTTTACGTATAGACCTCGTGCCACGCGACTCGAAGCTGGCCGCGAATCGAACGCGAGTTGAAGTTCGCGACGCGACCGGGGACCCGGCTGAACCGAGCCGAGTTTGCCTAGTTTAAGGCGACGTTCAAAGAAGTTATCCTCAATAAAAGAGAGAAGCAAACGATCATTAAAAACCAATTGCTAAAGATTTTCTTTATCCCGCTCTTCCATTCAATCCCCACGCTTGAATTTTTCATTCCTAATCGGATTTCGCTAGACATTTAAATTTCGGGGATGTGCGTTTACGTAGGGCGCCAGAGGGCAAGAGGGAAACAGACTCAATCAACTTTACGCAACTTTACTCTTCGGGCCTCGTGTCGCATGAAGTTGCACACGTTACGAACATAGCCACGCATGATTCAAATCAATGTGTTTGTACAGCCATTTAATTATCAAATATGTTTTGTTTTATGTGGTTATAAGATCGTCAATTCAATAAAGAGAGCATTTTTCGTCGTTGAGACAAAACGTTTTCCTTTTCTCTTTTTATTATCTTCGCGCCACCTCTCAGATTATTTTATTTCTTATGCCTTGTTTCTAATCTCGCGCGGAATGTTCAAGCGATAGAAACGCGATTTGACAGAATCTGAAGTTTGATCAGAATATGCTCCAGAATATGGTTGAACCACATTGCATTTTTTCAGCTTAAAACGATTCAACATTTCTTCTCAATAAAGAGAAAGATATGGATACGAGCTATCAGAAATTTTTTTATCCAGAAAATTTACGAAATTTATTTCTTTACTTGCAGCCAATTAATCGTGATAAAAATTTTGACAGAATTGGAATTTCGAGAACATTGATAGATAGTGCCGTATCTGTGACTCGAGAGGCCCCGGTTCCCTTTTAAGCGCTCTAATATTCATTTCTTCCAAATTAGATTAACTTTAATCTCGATTTAATTTACTTTCTTTTTCTAATTCTTTGATCTAAAATAAGATAAAAAGTAACTTAAATCGAGATTATAATTAATCTATATTGATAAAAATATATACAAAAAAATATTAGAAATATTTTTTTCAAGCCTATTTTTTACTAGACTGTATTAAAATTTTTTTTTCGTCAAACTTCAAATCATATCTATTTCATTAAGTACAAGTGTACCTTAATATAGCTATAAAAAAAAACATACCTTTGACGCATTATTTATTGATGAAAATTCTAGAAGTCACACCGAGCTTTTATTCAATCGTGAAAAGAAAAAATTCTATTAACTAATCGAATTGCACTTTTCATGCATGCATTCCACTTTTCCTGGTGTCGATCTCTCGAGGTCTCGAGTCTTCGAAGACCTTATGTTCCCGACGTTCTGCGCCTGTAAATCCAACTCTGTATCAGAGATGCCTCGATCAAGGTTGTGTGAAGGTTTCTTGTCCGTTATTACAATGTGCCGGACGTGCCGGATGTCGCGTATGCGAACGACGAATCTTCGAGATCGGAATCGTAATCAATCCTTTTTACACGTGCAATTTGTGATATCACGAGATGAAGGCGCATAACCAGCCCGGCCAGATGTGAGGGATTAACCTAAGAGACCAGGGGATTCGAGAGGCCGACCATATATAAACAAGATACAGATGATCTCATATTGTTGATACGTGATATCGGTCTGATTTCATTGGTTATTTTTTTTATCGTATTTTTCCTTGGAATTTGATAACTTGTGTGTCATTACAACAGAACGCCAATATTACATTGTTGATATGATTAACAATTTTTTTTTTGCAGATCTTCACTTTCCTCATCATAGAATCACGTTTGATTTTTAAGATAAACTATGTCCCGTCTACTGTTTTCCCATAATTCCACACAGATGCTGTCAAAGTATATGTCACTCAGAAATGAAAGCAGGCAAATCCATCATTCGTAAGTATCTGTTTTGCTAATGAAATGCTGTTTTGCTTATTAAATATAAGTTTATTCTTTTCTATTGCATTGGGGAATAATACTTTTTGCTCACTTTTAAATTTAAAACGTGTTTATTTTATTTTAATTACTATGAATATAAAATAATTAAGTTATAAACTGTATATATAAAACATATTCAAATTGGTTGCATTAGTTGCAAGATTCTGGTGGTTGGAGGTGGCACTGGTGGCTGTTCGATGGCAGCAAAATTGTCAAGAATGTTGAATGATCCAAAACAAGTTATCATATTAGAACCTAGCGATGTGAGTAATAAATAAAATAGCAATACGCATAAGATTCTTTAACAATAATTCTAATTTTTATAGGTGCATTATTATCAACCCTTGTTTACCTTAATTGGTGGTGGTATTAGTTCATACTCTTCATCGAGAAAATACATGAAAGAAGTCCTACCAAAAAATGCAAAATGGTTGAAAACTTCTATTGTCGAATTTCAACCAGATGTTAACAAAGTATCGACGCATGACGGTGACACTATACAATACGACATTATGATTGTTGCGCTTGGCTTGCAATTGAGTTGGGACAAAGTGAGATATTAAATATAATCCAAAAATCTTGAACTAAATTCGTACAACATTCAAATTAAATATTTTGATAGATTCCAGGTCTGATGGAAGGCATACATAATCCCGATGCGCAAATCTGTTCCATTTATGGACCTGACACTGTGCCTCATGTTTATCAGAAGTTAAAAAACACTGGACCAGGAACCGCGATATTTACATTTCCGAATACTCCGGTCAAATGTCCGGGCGCGCCTCAAAAGATCGCTTATATTGCCGAGGACTACTTTCGCAAAGTATATGTATACATATCTAACTCTATTATACTACGCCAAATCGTAAGGGCAATTCTCAACTAATTACCTATGTTCATTTTATCTAAAGCACAATTTACGAAATAACATCGATGTCGTGTACAACACATCCCTGCCAGTTATATTCGGAGTTAAAAAATACGCCGATTCTCTCTGGGGTGTATGTAAAGAAAGAGACATTACTGTTAATCTTCAAACAAATTTAGTGAAGATAGATCCGAGCAAAAAACGAGCCACATTTGAAAAACTAAACTCACCAGGAGAAACATTGGAACAGGAAGTAAGTTTACAGAAAGTAATATTGAATTGATTTTTTTTATCCGAGATAAAAAATGAATTCAATATATGTAATATTACTCGATAAATCTAAATCATTAATATTTTTTTCATTGTACTAGTATTCTCTCCTCCATGTAACGCCTCCAATGGAGCCGCCTGCAGTTTTGAAGGAACATTCGGCACTGACTAACGAAGCTGGATTTCTCAGTGTCGATCCTAAAACACTACGACACACAAAATATTCAAATATATTCGGCATAGGCGATTGTACAAACACGCCGAATTCTAAAACAATGGCTGCGATAGGTAAAGCAAGAATGTCTTATAAATTTAGCAGGAAAAAACTTATATAATGATTGTTATGTGTAGCTGCGCAGGGAAAAGTATTGTACCAGAATATCCTGGATGATTTGGCTGGTAAACCAATGACAATGGCTTACGATGGTTATGCATCATGTCCATTAATTACTGGTTATGATAAGTGTATTCTAGCAGAATTTGATTATAATTTACAACCAAAGGAGACCTTTCCAGTGAATCAAGGCAAAGAATATTATGTTATGTTTTTGCTAAAAAAATATATGTTCCCATTTATATACTGGCATTTGATGCTAAGGTAAAATAATTAATAAATTGATACATAATTAAAAAATTTCTGTATTACTGTATTTATAGTATGTATTTATAGTATGTATTTATAGTATATATAATAATGCATTCTTTTTTTTCTAGAGGTTATTGGAATGGACCTGAATTCTTTCGTAAATTCACGAAGGCTTTAAAGAAAGATTAGTGCTTTTAGGAAGACTAAAAAAAATATGCTTTTTGTATTTTTCTTTTTAGAAAAATTAGATTTAGAATATCTAATTAGATATAGAAAAATAATGCCTTTATTTAACAATTAATTATATACATATGTACATATCATAAATATAATTTTGCTCTTTTTATTTATCAAAATTAGGATTTAACAATTTATATATATGCAATATATATGTAACTGCAAGATGGAAAAATATATTTTTAATGATTATTGAAGCATTGTTATAATATATCTTGTTGAAATATATGACAGAAATTTATATGTAATATAAAAAAAGTCTATATGAAAATTATTATTATATAAAAGTATCGCAGATTTGTAAAATCTGAGAGGAATCTAAAAGGAATTATTAAATAATTAATATTTATCGACAATAAACTTTTTATTATTGATATTAATTTTGTTTTAAAAAAATAAGTCGACTTTTTATCCGTTTACTTCTTATCATGTAAGATTGGTAATGGGAAATTCGTATTTTTTTTCTTTCTTTTTACGTATTAAGTGTAACATGCCATTCTCCAGAGGTTAGGTTTATATTCAGGTATTTGACAGGCTCCTTGGACACGTCAGAATCAATCAAATTAAACCTAAACATGGATGGTCAACCATTGGTAGGTTTTTAAGATAAATAATTCAATCAATAATTTCGCGATAAAAATTACGAAATCTTTTAATGATAAAAGTTTGCGATAAAAATACGAATAAAAGAATCGCATTGGATATTTAAAAAGTTGCATGACATAACCTAATTATAGTGAATCAACCTGTTCCCAGCGATTTCTTGTATCATATGGTATAATCGATTTTATGAATTTGTTCTTATTTTTTATAAATCGTTCTTGATAAAAAGAAGAAAAACATTTATAAAGTTTCAAATCACTAGTATTAATAACCTAAAAAATCTTGCACTGTGCATGTATTCTATTAAATATTCCACTATGTATTCACCTATATAGATATATACAAAGGTGTACAGTTTTTTTTATTAACTCTGAAGTAAAAAATTATTTTAGGAACCCACATTGTATACAGTTAAAGGAATGGCCATTCTCGATAACGATGGCAACAGAATACTGGCAAAGTATTATGACAAAAATGTATTTCCAACATCAAAAGAACAGAAAACCTTCGAGAAGAATCTGTTCAGTAAGACACATCGGGCGAATGCAGAAATCATCATGCTGGATGGTTTGACTTGTGTCTACAGAAGTAACGTAGACTTGTTTTTTTACGTCATGGGTAGTTCACATGAAAATGAAGTTTGTATGATTATTATCAAGTATTTTGATATTTTCATGAATGGAATTTATATTAATTAATTTAATTTCTATTTTAGTTAATTTTAATGAGTGTTCTGAACTGCCTGTATGACTCAGTCAGTCAAATTCTTAGAAAGAATGTGGAAAAGAGAGCAGTATTGGATAGTTTGGATATAGTGATGTTAGCAATGGATGAAATATGTGATGGAGGGTAAATGAAATATCCATGTTCATTTGCTTAAAATTTTAAGTTTAAATGCGATAGAATAACAGGATTATCTTTTTAGTATAATTCTGGATGCGGATGCAACGAGTGTAGTGCAGAGAGTAGCATTGCGAACGGATGACATTCCACTTGGAGAACAAACAGTAGCACAGGTAGTATTTCATTTTGATTTATTTCATTTTCATTTTTTGTTGCAAATTCCAACTTTGGTTCATATATGATGTAAATTGTTTTTATATTTTAGGTACTACAATCGGCTAAAGAACAACTTAAGTGGTCTTTATTAAAATAAGTAATTTTTTTTGTATATGATTCTATATTCTTGCATAAATCTTTGCAATATATATTATAATATTACTATTATTATTGTTTAAAATAAGAATGAAACTGTCTATAGAAATGTAAATTGCATATCTATTACTTATTTTATCTTTTTCACAAACATACATCGATAAACATTTCAAAATATTGCTATTGTTTAAGCTTTCGAAAATTTTTGGAATCATACAGTACAACAATTTTGTTTGCATTTCTTTTCTTTCGATATTTTATTGATTTTTATAAATCTGGATTTTTTAAAATGAAATCTAACTTGAAGTTATAAGAATTTTCAAAATTTTCATTTGATGTATAATTGAAACATATTTACGACACAAATATTTTAGTATTATTTAGTAGTATTGATATATATGACATTTTATTATATGCTTAAAAATTAGAAAACAATTATATTAGTGATACATGTATTTATAAATTTTTAAATTACGTGATGAAATAGTTACCGATTTTATCTATAGAAAATATTGACCCTATTCGTAATCATCGACAAAAGTATTAAAATCTATTCTGTTAGATGGCGCAACTGATTTGTTTTCTACATGAATAGTAGATAGTTTAACTTTACCGAAATTCAAAGCTACCTTGAGAAAATGATATCTATAAGATATATTTCAATGTATCCACATACACACACACACACACACACACACACACACACACATATTGCATATGATCTTCGAATATCATTATCTTTTAATTAATACTTAAATACAAATATACATTTCATCAAATGTAATCTTCCCAAGCACAATGTCCGCTATCCAGAGACTTCTTGCAAAAACTCATTTTCCGCGATAATGCATATAATGCATATATAATATATACGGAAATTATTTCCGCGCGTTATTATGTATCGAGATCGGTGAGCTTATTGAAATTATCCCGGTCTCGATCCCCGTGCGTGTGTCTCTAATAGCGCCTCGGTGATGCTGAATTGCTTGCACGAACTTTTTACACAAGCAGCCCCTATCGTCGCCCACCGCCCCCCAGGGAAATCCAGCGAGCGAGGGTGACCCTGTATACGCGGTAAGGGAGGGAAAGGGGCGGGAAAGGAGGAAGAAGAAAGTGAGAGAGAAAGAGGGTGGAAATCGGGCCGCGCGCGGCTTCACGAACCCGCCACGAGATATATCCGGTTCTCCGTTTATCCGTCGTCACGTGACGGCGACCCGTGGACGACCCGTTTCGATCGCGTCCGTTGGTTACTCTTTCATCGGCCTCCTCCGCGCTGGGAATTTTCAATTTGATTACAAACTGCCCGAACGCGCGCCCACCCCGGCCCGCCCGCCCGCCTCCCCGCTCCGACGCGTTTCCGCTTTTCCTCGTCCCCTTTTTCTCTCCGTCCTCCTCCAACCCCCCGTGCCACTCTTCCTCGCGTGCGGCCCGATGAAAAACTCTCGTCGCTCGATCGCGACGGAATTATTGGCCGGCTGACTTTATTTATGGCGTTCATTTTCCTGGAGATCGCGGCCGGAGCACAGCCGTCCGCCATTTTTCTCTTTCTCTGTCTCCTTCCTTCTCTTTCTCTGTTTCTCC